ATAATTTATCTGAGAGGAAAAGTCAATTTCTCAGTTGCAGAACAAATTGCTTTCTATATATGTACCTACTAGATGCTTCCTTTTAAAATGTTTTACTCTGTGTGTGCAACATATATATATATATATATATATATATATATATGCATATATGTGTGTGTGTGTTAGTGTGTTATGTGTAGTGTGCGTATTTGTATGTGTGCATGTATATACATGTATGTATGTAGGGTGCATGCTAGTGCATGTGTCCACTATTCAGATTCCAAGGTTATAGGTGCATGACCACACTAGACTTTTCACATGAGTTAGTTCCGGGGATTTGAACTCATGCATGTCCAGCAATAACTTTTACTCACTGAACTTTCTCTCCAGCTTTGTTTTGGGATTTGTATGGTCATTTTTAAAGTTTCCCTTTGCCCATATCACATTGCTTTAAATACTATAGTCTTACAATAGATGAATTCAAGTTCTTTACTCCTTAAAAATCTAGATGGTATGCTGGGTGATGGTGGTGCAAGCCTTTAATCCCAGCACTGGGGAGGCAGAGGCAGGTGGATCTCTGTGAGTTTGAGGCCAGCCAGATATATAGTGAGAGTTCTAGGACAGCCAGGGCTACACAGAGAAACCCTGTCTCAAAACAACAACAACAACAACAAAATGTTGATGGTGTGTGTAGTAACGCTGAATTTTCACAACTCCTGAATGATCCCCCATGCACTGAATGAAGACCTCTTCTCATGTAATAAGAAGGAATGACTAGAGTCAAGTCATTTTGGGAGAGTTGTGCCACGCAGAAGTGATAAAACCTCCTAACTGGGGAAGGTGATAGAGCAAGGCTGATAATTTCTCTTCCTCATCATCTCTTAAGAGCTAGTTGGAGTTCTTAAAATCTTACCACCTGGGCCGCCAAGGAGATAGTTCAGTGGTTAAGGGCCCTTGCTGCCAAGCCTGATGGGTTTGATCCTGGGGACCCACAGGGTACAAAGAGAGAATCAATTCCCACACATTGTCCTCTGACCTCTATATGTGTCTCCCAATATATAAGTAAATGTGATAAATAGATGTAACTGCACACAATAATGTTGCTTGTGGGTTGGGGAGGTGGCCAGTGAGCAAAGCTCTTGCTGTGCCAAAGAGGACCTGAGTTTGTATGGTTTTCAACATTTTCTCCCATATCATCAATAGGGCTCTGTTTAAAGCAAACTTTGATAACTAATTAATCACATTATATTCAGTTCACATTACTAAGACTTTTACTAAGTTTATCATAGTCATTTAGGTAAAGGCTACTGGATGGTTTGGCAGGTAAAGGAACTTGTGCAAGCCTGGAAACCATGTAAACGTTCAAGGAGAAAACCAGCTCCACAAGGTTGTCTTCTTACCTTTGTATACACATGTGCTATGGCTTGTTTATGCACACACATCATGCACACATTCACTAACTATAAGCAAAATTAAAATAGAACTTATATAAAGATTCATTTAAGAAATTGTTCATCTGGGAGTTCTGTGGATAGCTATAAGTTTTTGTCTCAGAATATGGAGCATAATGGTAATAATAGATGTTGAGTTCCTCAGCCATAAAAATAATAGAAATGAGACTAAGTCATATGAACAAGACAGACCAGGTTTATTGATTAAGACCTCATTTTGAGTCAGCTGACTTAAGCCAAAGAGAGACAGCACTGACCAGATGTAACTAGGCAGCTTATATTAATTTCTTCAGCAAATGAAAAGTTTTGTAATTGTCCATTAGTCATGCATGGACAGTTTCTAAAGATGCTCTTCTTGTATGCAAACATCATGACCTTGTTCCTGTTGGGCTAAGGGGTCATTAACATGATTCAGAAACTGCTGAGTCACATCTGGCATCATTATCTTACATGGATGTCCTAACCCTATGATAGGATGAGGGACTTTGAGTACTTGAGTGCTTAAGAAAGAGGCCGGGTGGTGGTGGCGCACGCCTTTAATCCCAGCACTCAGGAGGCAGAGCCAGGCGGATCGCTGTGATTTCGAGGCCAGCCTGGGCTACCAAGTGAGTTCCAGGAAAGGCGCAAAGCTACACAGAGAAACCCTGTCTCGAAAAACCAAAAAAAAAAAAAAAAAAGAAAGAACAAAGGTGGTATAGAAAGAAGACAGACAATCATTCCAGTGAGTGGATAGGCCAAGTAGTTAGTTAGCCTTCTGTTACTGTCTTGAACAAATCTTTTTTTTTTCTTTGCTTTTTTCTTTCTTTTTCTTTGTGTATGTGTGTAACAAATCTTTTCTTAAATGTTCAACACGTCCACATGAAAAGCTGAATAGTATGAAACAAAGCTAGAGGCAGCAAACTGAATAGGCATGGTGTAACACACAGGTGACAAGTCTACTAATCCTACTTTAGTCATCTATCAAATAGCTATAGGGTTCAGTTAGTAGACAATGATTTGTGAACAGATGTGAACTGGATGGAGAGTTCTGTGGGGAGAATAGAGAATGGAAGGGAATTATAGGGAGCTTGCAGGAGCAGGCTGCCAGTACGGAGTGTACGTTTGTGAGATTACAAATGGCTGCGCTTGTAATCCCCTCTCTTGGTAGATGGAAGTGGGAGGATTTATGTGTGAGGCCATCTAGAGCTATACATAGAGAGAGCCTGTCTCAAGAAACAAAACAAAAGGCAACATTTGTCAGCAAAAGCAGATGCCAAGTTTCTACAAAGTGACCCAGGAAACTGTTCTAATAATCCATATTCAGAGGTGTTATCAAAACTAGGTGGAAGCTAATAATAGTATATTGCTCTGCTGTGTGACCTCCAAAGTCAGTGATTTTCCAAGTTAATGAAGAGCAAGTAAAGCTAGAAGTCTTCCTAAAGGGTTTTCTTTGGTAACATCCCTCCCTGCCCGTGCTGTCATTTACGTAGCTGTCTTTTTCAAGACAGGAGCTGTCCTGGAACTCGCTTATAGACCAGGCTGGCCTCAGACTCACAGAAATCCACCTACCTCTGACTCCCAAGTGCTGGGATTAAAGACATATGCCACCACTGCCCGGCTTGTGTAACTATCTTAAACCCAAGTGGTTCTAGCTTTGTTTAATCTGAAGCAGCTCCTAGAATGTAAACATTCTAGTTTTGCCTAATGCGGTGTTTTGTGGGTAACAGGCCAAGGACCTAGAGTTTATATGTCTCTGGTCTCCTTCTGGTGGTCCCTACTGGTTTTAATGAAGGCTGGATTACCTATACAGACAGTAATACATTTTCAGACAAGTGGAATCCCTACTTCAAAAGAGGTTTTGTAATGGCCAGGGTGTCAAGAGTTACATCAAACAAATTCTCTTCTAATATTGATACCAAATGTTTCCATTTAAATGTTTTCTTGGCAACCATGCTCATGTACTTCAAGGCAATGTAGTGTTATATTATGACCATATAAAAGATATGTCTTTTTTTTGTAAGATGAGGGAAATGTGACATTAAAAGTAGAAGCTTACATTTTTATTTATAGGAAAGAGTACATGGCAATTGAGGCTCTCAGTATTGGTTCCCTTACAGTGACCCGTGCCTACACACACATGACTTGGGTAGGTATAAGACTTCAGCTAAAAGGAAGTCACTTTTTAACTATCATGTGGGAAAAGAAGCATAGCGGGGTTAATACAGCAGTATCAGCTCTACACAGAAGGAATATTACATTGTCTTGAGTTTCACATGTAAACTGTAGGTGAGTGTGTTGATCCAATTGTGTCTAATTCACCTTGAATCTTTGCCTTCATATCCCTAGAAGATAATTCAAGGAAGTTGTCTCCAGTGTGTTGATGTCATATTAGAATGCCAAATGTTCATGTTTGGAGAAAGTTATTTGTTTCACTTTAGGGCTCTGGATACTCTCATATATTTTTCTCTTTGTTTATGTTACTTCCTGCACATGAATTACTGGCTCCTCCCTTCTACTCCCATATGCATGCATAGAACACACTTTCCTTTAACTCATTCATAATGTACTCACGATGACCATCCCATCTTCTTCCTAAACATATCTTTAACCTAATCTCACCTGTCAGATAACAAGCACGTGTTTCCACTGTCAAGAGTGCACGTGTTAATATTTACATTTGTTAACCACCTTGCATTTGCCTGCTCTGACTAGCTGTCCAGACTTCCCTATAGCAACTCTCCTTACCTGTTTTGTCCATAAGGTAATTTTCTACCATGGTACATTTATTAGATATAATACTGGAAATATAATCATTTTTGAAGTAATATTCAACTTAATCATCTGGCTCCTTGTCTAGAAAGAGTAGTCTGGGATTAAAGGCATGTGCTATCACCACCTGGCTCAAGTTTTTTTTTTTTAATTGAAGTATATTTTGAATTCACTAAGGCTTTAGGACAGGAAAAAAAAATGGCAAAGAAGGGAAAGCTTTGAAAATTGGAGGCCATGCACAGAAAAGCCATAATCCTTAAATATGTCATGGTTTTCAAAAACACACAGGGTTGTAAGTTATGTATTGCATTCTCCTTTATCAATGCTCATAAGAAAAAGTGCTTGAGTAATTGGCCATTGCCTACACCTCAATGAACCTTGTCATTTTCTGTCATTACCTTTTGTATGGAGGACAATAGAATGCACATTACTAACACATGTAACTGTGGAGTTCTGTAAAAAAAAGTTGACATGATCTGTAATGGGTCATTTATCTTGCTAAATTTGTTTTCTCATCTGTGAAGTGTGGATTAACATACACACCCTTTTCTGATCAAGTAGTGATTGAGTCATGTGATATTGATCACATGTGAAAACATAAATGCAGAGATTTAGACATATATTTCATCACTGAATTATTCTTTTGTCACTTTAGCATTAATCCTACACTACTTTAGAGGACTGATCTATCTTGATCAAAGCCTGATGTAACGAATAAATGACCCAATAAGGAAATAGAGAATGTATAGTGGGCTTGCTGTTTTATTTTTCCTTACTTCTTTCTTTTATGTGTCTCTCTTCTGTTTCTTCCTCTTAAAACAGTTTTGGTATGAACCATGATGGAATTGGAAATTCTTGTGGGACGAAAGGTCATGAAGCAGCAAAACTTATGGCAGCTCATATTACTGCAAACACCAACCCCTTTTCCTGGTCTGCCTGCAGCCGAGACTACATCACCAGCTTTCTAGAGTAAGTAATCTCTGGAGAGTAATGATGACTCGCTCTAGAAGAAACTCATTGCCGAAGCCTCATGCATAGGGCTTCAGATTTGTCTCATTGGACCCACTCAAATTTCAGGTCTCTCCCACATGCTTTCCTAAGTCGGCGTGGCACAAATCGTGAATAAGCTAGAAATGGAAGAGAATGTATGTGTGAAGAGAATGATTGATATAATGATGGATTAGAATTGTTCAGTAAATGGGAAGCATTTTCAGAAAGAATTTACATTCATATAATTTAGTAGAGAATAAGTCAAACTTTAATTAAGTTATTTAGTATTTCATGATGTTGGTGAAAAAACTGAATTGTTTAGGCTTGTCAAAGTATCTAATAGCAACAAATAAAAGCACCAACTAAACTAAGCATCCAGGAAGGGAGCGTTTTGAGGAAGGATTTAAGCTGTTCATCTTTTCCACAATTGGAGAAGCTTCTTCATGGTTATTAATGTAAATCCCAAGAATCTGATTCTATACATGTTATAGATATGAGTGAGCACAAGTATACCTTTGTTTAGGAAAAGAGATTTTTTTTCTCATGTCACTCATGTGGGCACTCATATCGGACTTTAGGACCCAGTAGACTTGAGTGTTGCTTTCAGTGTGGCCCAGGCATGTTAGTTTATCTTTTTAATCTTAAAGGGTTATGACTTTTTAAGTGAGTTTAAATCAAAATGCTTATATAATTAGATATTTTGTACATCATAATGTTCAATGCTATATTATATAAATCAATTGATATTCATTAAAATCATAAACATTACTATTTTAAGTAACATCACGGTTGCAATAGTTTATTGCTGTATTATTACTTTAGCTGTTTGGTGCTAGTTTTTCGCTTGGGGAGGTGAGGTTAAATGCAAATTGGACATTACTTTTAGAAAGTAGCTTATATTATACTTCATATTAGCACAATTGTATTATAAAAGTTTTAAATTCAGACAGTTTATGTAGGATAAAATTATGCCTTAAAATTTTCCTTAACTATTAGTAGCCAGGTCATAGAGTCTGAAAACTTATGATTATGTAGAAAAGAAAGTTTAAATTACCTGGCACAGATCTTGATTTAAAAATCAAAAGGTGAATGTTGAAAATAGGCTTTAAAAAATTTATTAGTACAGTCATTCAGTTGGGAATTCATTTAAGCCGGGCGGTGGCATTTAAAAAAGTTGTCCTGCCGGGCGGTGGTGGCGCACGCCTTTAATCCCAGCACTTGGGAGGCAGAGGCAGGCGGATCGCTGTGAGTTCGAGGCCAGCCTGGGCTACCAAGTGAGTTCCAGGAAAGGCGCAAAGCTACACAGAGAAACCCTGTCTCGAAAAACCAAAAAAAAAAAAAAAAAAAAAAAAGTTGTCCTGAACTACTGTATTGTGAACTGAAAATTTTTAATTTTAGTACGAAAACATTATAATACTTTATTATATTATTATACTTGCCTAGTGTCAGATTGGGTGAAGTGCTTTAAAAAGACAATAAAGAATTTGGTTGATATCCTTGGTCATTTTTAACATAGAGTACTGAAAATATCATTTTTAAGATGGTCTTTGATGAGCTCATTTACATAAATTGTAAACACTATTGAACTTGTCCTCCTTGTGGAAACTTTACCAGATCTGAAATTTCTCTCTTGTCTTGGCTTGTTTTCATAATAAAATCTCAGTCTCTATCATCATAAAGACAAACTGTGGAACATGCTCAGTATTTGTGTGTATTTTCAATGGCAGTCCTTCTCTTGAGCTGTAAAAGTTCACTGTCTTGCCCTCTGTATTCTGTTTCCGTCCTCTTGGTGGATCTACAGTTCATTAGTGAGTACCAGCCTTGTACACTAAACACAGGACCATAGCCTATTATTCCTGAGCCTTAGACATGTAGTAAATCGTGTGTGTTCTTTTATGTCCTACAAACATGCAGAAGCATAGATAACACGGACTACTTTTGAGCTCCTGCCAGGTCTTGTGTAGTTGGAAATATATTATGACTGTAAAGACACTACACAGGACTCTCTGATTACTGCTAAAATATAAGGAACTGACCACTGCCTTGGTGAGGGATGTAGAACTAGTAACCCTTGCATTATAGCAGTACATTGAATTAATGAAAGTAATTAATCTGAAGACATTATTTAATCTGAATTGTTTTCCTGTATTTTGTATATATAAGCAAAATGAATGTTGACAGGATTCTAATGGGCTTATTTATCCTGTATTTTATAAAAAGTGTTCTTTTGGGTATCCACATGGAAATGCCTGAAGTTAAAACTACTAGGAAATGGATAAATGTTTAAAAAAAAAAAAAAGACTTGGGAGAAAACTCAGCTCTCCCTTCTCCTCTAATAATAAACTAACTAAAATCTTATTATAATTTGTCCAAGCAACAAAAGATTTTAAACATAAGCTTTGTTAAAAAGATCAGTTCACTGGATCACAAGGATAAAATAGTAATTTTAAAAGATTTCTTTGTTCCATTTTCTATGCATTGAGCTTAATTGCTTTAACATCTATGAGTGATGTCTTTATCTTTATTCATATCTATATTTAAATCCAGAGGCATTTTGCAGTTTGATCAAGGATTCAGTTTACATTTATGTTTTGTAGTTGACTCAAAAAGGGTCAAAGCACTTTACTTTAGCTTTTCTTTTCAAGAAAAAGAAACCTTGAAAGAAGTAATTGCTAAGGAACTGCCACCCAATCAACAAAATGCATACCTTCCTCTCCTTAGAGACTGTATAGAATAAGAATGATCGGGAACTTAACGATGAGCTTTCTATGATTTATAGAGATCCATTATTCACTGTTTAACTGGGAAAACAAAACCCAAGACATGGCCTTAAAATGCCACTAGAATACAGTCTCTCATGTCATTCTGCAACACTAGGTGCTATTGATCAATCAGGAGATGGTGTTTACCAACTCCCAATATTTTTTTTCAGATTTCTTAAACTCGGTGATTCAATAAGTGGTTCATGAATCGCCCAGAAGCCGTCCTGATTAAATAATAAAGAACCCATTACCGTTAAAATGGACGTGTTATGCCAGCTTCTGATGTTTTCCGAAGACGGCTTTGCAGGTAGTCCTTTGTCCTTCCTATCTGCCTGCGGGACTCACTTATTTACTTATTTAGAAAATAGAAAAAGATGAACCTGGTATGAAGGCTTAACTCATTGACTATGGGCTAGTTTACCAGGCAGTGAAAAGCAGATAGCTGTAGCTTAGGACAGCTTTCCAGCCATTCCCGACCACTTAGAAGTAGTTCAGAGCAATTTCATATTATTTCTAAAAGATATGGGGGCTTTGTGAGTCATCTTTTACCCTATTTAAAGTCTGTCAAATTGCTTGAACTCTCAAGGAGCTGTAGCACAATTGCTTGCCATTTCAAGTTATATACAGACTCCATTTCATACAAGGGTGGAAGCTGATTAAATACACTGAGTGGCATTGTTATGACTGAAGGGGAACTAAGAAGAAGGTTGAGAGAAGTGATGTACAATGGACAAGATGGCCAATGCACTCATATTTGCTATCTAGAAATTGCTCTTGAAGCTTAACTTCACCCTGTTAAATAGAAAACATTTTCTTCGGTGGAGCCTCCCCTCACCCTTCCAAACATTGTAGTATCCAAGAAATAACCTGCCAGAACAAGTTTTTCCTTCAGTCTGTCTGACACACCTTGAGACTCTTGCTCTAAACATGAGTATCTTTGACAAGTTGTCATTTTGTGTGGAGTGGGTATTGAGTCACCATTCACAGCACGAGACTTGTGTCTTTGAACCTCAAGTTAGTTGTATCCCAACATTCATGTTGTACAGTGAGTAACAGGACAAAGAGGTTTGATTTTAGATCCCTTTGCACTCACCTGATTGTGTTATTACATTGCTATGTTTGGTTCAAACATTGTTAGTTTGAGAAAAAATGATAAAGCTACTCATGAGAAGATAGTAGATAAGAATTTAACTTGATGTAAATGATATCAACCTAGTTCATGCTTAATTCATATGTATCAGCATACCTTTGTGAAAAAACAGGCGGCATTAAATTATACTTCTGTGTTGTTAAGGTACTGTAGGTGTGTACAGCTTAGGTCGATGGACTTTCAGATTGGCCCACTGTATAGACTAAAGCTCCATTCTTTATAATCTGTTTTAGTAAGAATAAACTTTAAATCTCAACTAGTAATACATTCTCATATGTTCTGGAAACAAAGATTTTATAAAGATCTATAAATTTAGTAGGAGACTGAAATTTGTCTCATCTTGTTTTCAAGGTTGACTTTGGGACTCTGTGAAGAAGTACTCACTAAATTAGAAGTGAGGTACATAAAATGACTTTCCCATCACAATGCAAAGAGTTTTAGAAATATAAATATATTTTGATTTACTATGAATTTTTCATAATCAATGAAGATGTATATTTTTAGACTGATATATATTTTATCTTGTCTTGGAAGGTTAAATAAAAACACAGATTGTGAATTTAATGATTATTTATATTTATAATACATTAACTAGGGTTTGGATTTTTGTTGGGAAATATAAACTGCTGGAAAACTAATTATAGATTTAATTTTATGCATCTAGTTTTATGTTGGACAAATATATTAAAAGTTATAGCCTATTATAGATGAAGACTAATAGTTCTGTATATTTAGTTTATTAATGAGTAAAGTTTGTTTTCTGAATGAAAAAAAATTATGTGACCCTTAAGACACAAACAATTTATCTTAATAATTGTTGTTAATGAGAAAATTCCAGAAATGTCTATAGATTTATCACTGCTTTTTTTGTTTGATACTAGCATGGATTACATTAGGCTTGGCATAGTAAGACTTACTGCTTCTCAGTTCACTAAATTCTAGATTAAACTAAAACTTTCCTTAGCTTCTGTTTTGTAACAAAAACATTATAAAGTGTAAGACTATGTAACATTTTCATAAAAAGGAATTAGAAATACCAGATATAATGGTATATGAATATGTAAGTTATGTGACCCAATCTTAAATGGAGTACTTCAACTCCTTTTAAACAGGCGTTCTAGAATAAGCACATGGGTAGTGAAGAAGAGCTGTTATTGAGAAGAGTACAGAGAGCTGGGCATGTAGCACACTCCTGTAAGTCCAGCACTCAGAAAGCTGAGAAAGGACAATGTAGGCCACCTTGGTCTACATAAAGAGACTGTTGCAAAAAACCAAATAGAATAAAAATAAATAAATTATTGTCAATTCATCTGGAGGAAATGGGAGATGAGTAGGAGAGAAAGGACTGTCGTAAAGTGAATAAAAGCAACATATGGTGATGATGAAGAAACTACAATGAAACCCATTAATTTGTATGATAACTTAAAAATAATATTAAAAATTTTTCATGTAGAGTTTGGGAGATGGCTTAATACAGTGTTTCTCAACCTAGGGGTGGCAACCCCTGTGGGGTCGAATGACCCTTTCATAGGGGTCAATATCAGAATTCTACATATCTGATATTTTCATTGTAATTAATAACAGTAGCAAGATTACAGTAATGAAGTAGGAATGAAAATAATTTTATGACTGGGAGTCACCACAACATGAGGAACTGTATTAAAGGGTTGTAGCATTAGGATGGTTGAGAACCACTGGCTTAGTGGATAAAGTGGTATGCAAGCATGAGTCCCTAAGTCTGGATCCCAGAACCCATGCCAAAGGCCAGGTACAGTGGAATAGACCTGTAGGCCCAAAGTGCGTATATGGAGGGGTGGGCTAGCTGATCCTGGGGTTTGCTGGGCATCCAGTCTAACTAAAATAGCTGGTCTAGATTCAGTGATAGACTGTCTCAAAAATCAGATGGAGATAATTGAGGAAGACATCCTGAAACTAACCTCTGGCTTCCACACAACTGCAGGGGTGAGTGCACCCTTACACACATTTTCACACATGCATATACCATGAGGGGTGGTTAGAGCGAGAAGTTACTAGTGTAAAATCAGAAATCAGACATTACCTCATGAACATTTAAAAATCAGAAGAGCAGTTACTCATAGGAAAAAATTTATTAGAATTGAGTGCTCAGAAATTCTTTGGTTAAACACACATATGAGGGACAGAGAGGGGAAGAGGGAGGGGGAAGTGAGAGAGAGAGGGAGAGAAACTCTTCTGATAGAATCAAATCTGCTTCCCACAGATCTATGATCTTTGCCTTCTGTGTCTATATCTGTACTATTTCAGAATGGTAGTTGATAGCTTAGAAGCATGAAAATACCTTGAAGTACTTTTTTCCTTAAGAGTCAGTTAACAATAATTATACTCAACTGGGTAGTGGTGGCGCATGCCTTAAATCCCAGCACTCGGGATTAAAGCAGAGGCAGGCAAATCTCTGTAAGTTCGAGGCCAGCCTGGTCTATAGAGAAAGTTCCAGGACAGTCAGGGCGGTTACACAGAGAAACCTTATCTAAAAAATCCAAATAATAATAATAATAATAATAATAATAATAATAATAATAATGCTCTATAGACTTTACTTAATTGAAAGTAACAGAAAAGACACCAGTAAAACAATAGATAAATTTTATTAATATATACAACTAAACATTTGCAATGCTTAACCCTAGTTAAGAATTAAAAGATGAAAATGGTCCCATTCCTCAAATACATTCATCTCTGCTTTGCCGTGTTATGAGGTATGATCGTTAGGAGGACAGTGCTGTATGTACACATAGTGAGAACATGTGGAATGGAGAAGCTTTTTAATCAGCTGCACAGATAGATCCTTGCTGTACCTGAGGTCGTTTGACTGATAAGCCTTGCTGCTATTTACATATATAGCAACCACATTTCTAAAGACCTTTATTGATATGGTGTTCCTAAACACAGGCTCATTTTTAAAATATACATATGGTTTTCTTTTTTATTTTATTTAATGGGGAGTTTTAATCTTCTGCAAAGTATACTGGACAAGGAGAACTGGTCTTGTGTAGCTATTTAATAATAAAAAAAGGAAATAGGTGCTTCCAGGGACCTAAAGTAAGAATACACTTTGGGGACCAACTCTTTGAAGAGTTTTGGCCTTAGGTCCTAAGCATGTTTGGCACTGTTGGCTCTGAAGGTCTTTTCAGTGCTTGTCTGATCTAATTTTTTTAAAGAGAAGAATATGGTTAGAAGATCATTATACCTCAAAACAAGAACATTAAATGAAATCATTAGTTTTGCTTCTTCCTAAATTAAGCCAATTTTACCATCAGGAAAAAGTTACTTCCTCTGTGTATCTATCTTTAAATTCCCTTCTGAGGGTCACAGAGTTCTACTTCTGAATTTTTTAGTTTACTTTTCTGTATTTCTGAAAGTCACTATATGTAATATTTGTAATGAGTTCTGTACTGGTGCCAGTTAGGTAATTATGTCCTACACTTTTTTGTTATGCTGCTGATAAATATTTATAACCTAAAAGGTCTTGTATGTGAATTCTTTAGTATATAATTTTATTTTTCTTTTGATTTGTAGTAGTATTTACTAATTTTTATTATATGCTCAATTCCTTTTATAAATATATGTATAGTTTTATTGTAAATGATGGAACTTATAATTTGGAAAGAAAATTTACAAGTTAATCCTCTAATTCAGTTATCCCAATAATATTCTATATTATCAAAATAGTCATTTTTTTACTATTGTACTTACTTTAAAGTATTACCCCTTTGTCATGAACTTTAATATATTTTTGATATTACTAGTAGGATTTTACTTGACTAAAGTTTTACACATCATAATATCAAAAGTGCTATTTTTAAAATTCACCTAACAATAAATGTGCTTGCTGAGGTCCATGACAGTATCTCAGCTTGCAAGAGGAAGGAAGCCTTGAGCGGTGCTGATGGACATGTCAACGCCCGTCTATGTCAGTACAGTAGTACCACAGCATTTTCTTTAAAGATTAACAAAGAGGAGTGTAAGGCCGAGAAGGCCATCTTGTATCCCTTTGGTCTGGGCCACCTTAAGAATAGCACAGTTCAGGTTTTAAAGATGCTAATTGCTCCTGTGCAGATAATACATTTTATGTAACAAGATGCCTTTTACATTTTAACAAATAAGAAACTTGTCGGTGAATTGAAACTTATTATTTTGTAGGAGTCTTTCTTCCCTGTTTGTAAATGAAAATTTGTGCTGTCCTAAATAACAGTTGAGGAACTTCAACTTGTCAAGTTATTTTCCTTTGGCAAAGTGGATGGAAAAGATTTGGGGAAAAAGCAGAGGTCCTGGCACAATGGACAGGAATGCTGGAAAGAATTTTTAAGTGTTGGCATAGGAATTCTTTAAAAATTCGAACTCACATGTGAAATGAAAGTAAAAAAGCATCTGTCCTATTTTATGCACACTGGATAAATAAAAATGAACAGTTATATTCAGCAAAGTCTAGAGCTCTTTAAAGTAAGGTATTCTGTCTAGCTTTTGGCAACCTTTATGTTATTTGTTCCACTGAATTAAAATATTATGTTTTAGTGAAGGCATACTTTGTAAAGCAGAAATTATGTAGAAAGGAGAACATTCCCTTTTCCTAGCTCTGATGACCTCAGATGAAATATGAAATCTTTGAGAGACTAAACATTTCTAGTGTATGTGAGAGAGACCTTTGGACCTTAGCCCCAGCAGCCATTCAGCCCACTAACTAATGCCATGTCTTACTGTAGCATCTTTTGTTCTGTCCTAGGGTATAAATTAAGTCTTTAAGATTGCAGCTATAATTATTTTTGTTTGATTTTCCACAATTCATGCTTTTAATTCTACTACCAGATGTGGTTATATTTTCAATGAAAACAAACAAGAAACTTAGAGTAATATGAAATTCTGTTTTGGTTCCTTCAGAACTAGTTTAAACCAGTATTTTAAAGGCCAGCAGGACATTTTCAGATTGTTGTCTGAGATGCTTCCATTGTGTTTTGGTGCTGGAGAAAAAGAATTTGGAGCTCTCATTCAAGTGTCTGTAAAACTATTGTATTTTGCTATAGGATTATTAGTACAATGTGTTGTTTTTATGTATCAAATTATTAAGACAAAGATCTCAACACATGGTTTCATAATTGTGACTGAAATAGTCTACAGAGTACCTAATTTCCTCTGATCCTTTATGTTGAACAGTTCAGGCCGTGGTACTTGCCTTGATAATGAGCCTCCCAAGCGTGACTTTCTTTATCCAGCTGTGGCCCCAGGTCAGGTGTATGATGCTGATGAGCAATGTCGTTTCCAGTATGGAGCAACATCCCGCCAATGCAAATACGGGGTAAGAGGTCTAAATCCTTATGTTCAGTCATTTATATATGTTCTCTTATGACACATGTTCAAGTGGAATCATGATGAACTTAGTTTGTCTTTTGAGCATTATTAATTTACATAATGCCTTTACACTGATTTTTCTGAGATTGTTTATATATTATCTATTTCTAAATATTTGAATAATAACTAAATTAACATATTTCACAATTTTTTTGTTAATGAGGCAAACAGAATTTTAGTAACTTCATGTGCTTTATTTTTTAAATCTTCAGCTCATGATGCCAATTTTACTTTGTCTTTTAAAATATTTTAGTTTTAAGAGACTCCTCTACTGCCTTTTCCTGGCACTCTTATAACTGTGCTAAAGGGCATTTTCACTGGCTTCTTGCCTTTACCTTAATTCAGTCTAGCTAGAACTGAGTCACCTCTATGGCTTCACCCACTGCCCACTTTCCAACATAACAATCGAGGAGGAACAAGGTGACACCAGCCCACAAAATGAGAAAAAGGGAAATAGCTGTGGAAAAAACTGTGAGCATCATGACTTTCTCTTCACGTGTGCCTAAAACAAGCCACAGGGCCATATTAGAAACAATTAAAACGCTTTTAATTTCACAGATAATTTGGTCTCTAATATAGGAATGTGTTGAATGAAAAAAACGGATTCTAAAGTATCAGTCTGTGTGCCAAAAAGTACTTGGGCTTAAAAACCAAATCTAAAGGCTTGGTTCTTATTGTGGTACAGATAGTCTAAATTCTTAGAAAATGATAACAATACAAAGGATTAAGTTTTAAAATAGTATTATTAGACTACATACTCACTGTCCTTTACCATTTACTCCTCTTGGACATGGAGCAATGAGAGGCATTAAAACACATCTCTTGGGTGACAAATATATGCTTATTCTTGGTAGACCTTGGCAGTACTTTCAAGATTGTGTATGATTATGTGGGTATGTAGAGACACATATAAAACTTTGATTTCTCCTGTTTCTTTGTAAAGTCTTAGTTCTGAAAGGATCTAGTTTCTTTTGTTCCTAAATTGTTTTTTTTTCCTAAAAGAAAGTCACCCAAGCATTAATCACAGTGACTACATGTACTCAGTGATCAAATGAGATCAGAGATGCTTTATACGATCACTCACAGTGTATCCCATTTTTCTGTTCACAAGTGAGACAGTCTACATTGTACTTTTTATTCTGGAAATTGTGTTTGGACTCCATCCATAAGCTTCTATGGTAGATAATTTATGTTATTATTTATTATTATTACGTTTATGGGATTTATGAATGTAATTTTTTTCTTTGATGAACAAATTAATTTAAAAATTGATTCTTCTCACTTAGTCTAGAAGGCTCACTTTTTCTAGGTGGATAGAAACAAGACAAGTTGTAATTAAAAAACTTCATTTTTCTGCCTTTTGAATCTTTTTGTATAATGGTTATGCTTACTTCTATATCAGAAAACTTTGTGAAGACATTAGCGTTTGTAGAGATAATTTCTTATATTTTGTCATGAACCCTTTCTACTTTGTTTTTCAATGAAATACTGGTTTCACTAGATACATATTCTACATGGAATTCTTATGCTCTTTTTATATTCTACTATACATTTCTAGTTAGGATTCTTGATCTCTGATAGAGTCTTTAAAATCTCTCCCGCCTCTTGAACTTGAGTGTTGGGTGCCAGATGTAAGACGAATTGCTAAACGCTCTTATTAATAAAAAACCTGGAGCCAGATATTGGGGTGAAAACTGAGAAATCAGAGGAATAGGACAAGCCAGAGCCAACCTCACCTCACCAACTCCTCAGCCTCTAGAGAGAGCTACTTCCTGTACCCATGCCTATATGTCTTTCTGTTCCCTGCCCTCTTATTTCCTCTCTCCGCCCAGCTACATCACTTACTCTTTCCGCCTAGCTCTATCACTTCCTGTCTGTCTGTACAGACCTCCAGACCTCTATGGCTAACTAGTGCTAGGATTAAAAGTTTGTGCCACCGTGCCTGGCTCTTTTCCCCAGTGTGGCCTTGAACTCACAGAGATCTGGATGAATCTCTGCCTCCTGAATGCTAGGATTAAGGACGAGTGCTACCACTGCCTGACCCCTATGTTTAGCATAGTAGTTGACTTGACTTTTTCCTCTGATGCTCAGATAAGCTTTATTGAGGTGCACAAATAAAATATCACCACAGGTTCACACAATTATCATACCCAATTTACACTGGTTTTTATCTTGTTTTCCTAACATTTATGACATTTCTCAATACTACTTTGGAAATCAATTGACTCTTTGAAGATTGAGTCCAGTCTGGTTAGCACGTTGTGCTTCAGGAGGTAGCTGAAGGGAAAGAAGACCTGAGTGTAAGGTACTAAGGTGGGCATTAAACACACTGATATGAGACTAGGGAACAGTTGCCTTGAAATGATTCCTATTTTGAAAACTAATGACTTCTGGAAAGATTTTAAACAGTTATAGAATGAACCATAACTGCTACAGTGATACCTTTTCCCATCCCTTTCACTTTGGCCATTTTGTAGTGATTGAGAGCTTATCAATGCCCATCTTTTCAATACTCCATAATTTCTTAGTGACTTTTTAGTGTATGTGTTCAGTTATATATTTGTTAATCACATTTGGGTATTTTATTTGGAGCAGTATTCCACATTTATCATTACCTATTATCTAATTTTGTTTCAGATTATCCATAAATTCTAGCAGGATAGAAATGAAAATATAGTGGCTATAAATACAAAGAACAGAATAGCAGTGTAATATATAGATTAATATATTTGCATAATCTGGTAACCTACAAATGATATTCAGTGATCCTTAACTGTTATATAGTACCTTTTTCTGAGATACTTCAGACTGCATTGATAAAATTTATAATGGCTTTATAATAGTTTATAGATGGGGAAACTAAAACTACAGTGTGTGATTTATACACTCCTAGATTAAAAACATGTAAAGATTTGAGTCTGTCACATCTGTTGCTTCTAGGTATAGTAATTGTGCTAATAAAATAAAGATTGTAAATGTGTTTTGTTATAGAGAACACTAGTCTAGTCTTCATCAGGTAATGTCTCATTCCTGATTAGCAAACTTCTCAAAACTCTCCATCTTAGCCCTGTCTTTTGGGATAGAAGTAATCTCTAAAATTACTGTTTGGGGACATACATTCTCGGATGTCTGAAATCCTAAATTGTGGCATCTTCGAATGATGGAATTTCTTACCACCACCACCACCACCACCACCACCACCACCACCACCACCACCACCACCACCACCACCACCACCTCCTTCTCCACCTCATGTAGCTCAGGCTGACCTTACACTTGCTATGTAGTTGGGGATGACCTTGAACTCCTGAACCTTCTCCTTGCTCCTCTCAATTGCTGGGATTCTAGGCATGTGATATCATACTCGGTTTATGTGGTGCTGGGGATCAAAGTCAGGCCGCCGTGTAGGTCAAACAGCTGCTCTGCCAGCTAAGCTACATCCTCAGTCTCATTATCTGTTATTACAAAAAAAAGTTAGGGACCAGATAAATGATTGATTTGATGAGTAAAGGCATTTGACCACCAAGCCTGAGGACCTGCGTTTGATCTTGGAACCTGCATGGTGGAAGGAGAGAACTAACTCCTGCAAGTTGTCCTCTGGCCTCCACACCTGTGTGTGAAAGTTTGTGTATGTGCTTCTTTAAGATAAGCTGCAGCATGTAAAGCTAGATCTTTACTGTATTATCTTCAAATATCCCCCAACTCTGAGTCTAAGGATGATTTTTCAGTACTTCTTAAAAAAAAGTTCATTGCAAATAAAACAACAGAACCGTTGTCTCTAGGAATCGTTTATTTATTTATTATTTATTTGTTTGTTTGTTTGTTTATTTATTTATTTATTTATTTGTTTGTTTATTATTCAGAGCATCAGGCTCATAAAGCTCTGTAGAACCTATTATGCCACTTCTCTTCCACTTCTCACTTGTCTTTCATTTTCAATATTTTTTTTTTTAAATTTTTTTTTTTTTATTAAAGATTTATTTATTTATTATGTATACAGTGTTCTGTCTGCATATACACCTGCAGGTCAGAAGAGGGCGCCCGATCTCATTATGGATGGTTGTGAGCCACCATGTGGTTGCTGGGAATTGAACTCATGACCTCTGGAAGAACAGCCAGTGCTCTTAACCTCTGAGCCATCTCTCCAGCCCATTTTCAATATTTTTATTAGAAAATAATCATAAAAACTAAACTGGCTGAAAGCATATTGCAATAATAATAAGTTTAAACGTAGAAAGGAATTCACTTATAGGCTTATGTGATATATGTGGGGGATCTTTATGGCTGTTTTCCGAAAAGCATAGATTAGGGCTCTTTCAGGTTTTGCTCTTTATTTCATGATTCTGTCACTTTAAATCATATCCAAACACAGTTTTCAGATAACACTTAAGAATTTAATATAGGTTCATGATACCTAATATATATAAAACTGTGAAGGGATGAGTGTTCATCTGCAGATAGATTGAAGTCACACAAGTTTTATAGACATCATAGCTTTGTGTAATTTGTGGATACTTTTTTATTGTATGTGAATATTGTCATTGTTCGTATAGGATGGAGCTACTGCATACATCTTCAGTAGTATGTTGTAAATTCTATGCTTTTAATATAGAACTAAATACTGTTCTACCAGTAGATAAGATATTTTTATCCATAAAGGAAAACACATTATTTAGCACATGGTTTCACAATAGACCATAATATTTTTTTTTTGAATATAATATTTTTAACAAAATATTTTAAATTTAAAAAGTCTGCTCACCATTCACTATTACCTAGAATGTCAAGCTGACCATCAGTAAATTTTACTCATTCATAGAAGACTTTTCAGTGAACAACAGCCTAATTGTTTCTGTAAACGTCAGGTAGCAAGAGCACATACAAGATTGCATATACATTTCATGTGCTGGGCACATAGTAGACATTCAAGAAGTGTCTCCATTTCTT